AACCCTAAAACCCTAAAACCCAAGGCTCCCCCCAAACCCTAAACCCCAAACCCTAAACTTTAAACCCCAAACCCCAAACCCTACAACCCTAAACCCTAAAACCCTAAACTTTAAACCCCAAACCCTAAACCCTAAAACCCTAAAACCCAAGGCTCCCCCCAAACCCTAAACCCCAAACCCTAAACTTTAAACCCCAAACCCCAAACCCTACAACCCTAAACCCTAAAACCCTAAACTTTAAACCCCAAACCCTAAAGCCCGAAAACCCTAAAACCCAAGGCTCCCCCCAAACCCTAAACCCTAAAACCTAAACTTTAAACCCCAAACCCTAAACTTTAAACCCCAAGCCCCTAAAGCCCTAAAGCCCTAAATACCCCCAGAGAAGTCCAAGGGGCGCTGAGCATAAAAGATTCCGGCTCAGCCTCCGGCCCGACCTTTCTATGTTTCGCTGCTTTGAAGGGTTTAGGGTTTAGGGTTTAGGGGTTAGGGTTTAGGGCTCAGGGTTGAGGGCTTGGGGCTTGGGGTTTAGGGTTTAGGGTTCAGGGCTTAGGGTTTAGGATTTAGGGTTTAGGGCTTAGGCTTATGGTTTAAGGTTTAGGGTTTAGGGTTTCGGGCTTAGGGCTTAGGGTTTAGGCTTTAGGGTTCAGGGCTTAGCGCTTAGGGTTTAGGGGCGAGGGTTTCGGGCTTAGAGGGGGGGTTTTGGGGGTTGGCGATAAGAGTCTGTTTTGCTTTAGGTGGCTTGACCAGGGGCTTAGGGCCGGCCTATAGTGCCCTTTGGCATTTCCTGGTGTCTCTTACGTTGGTCTGTGGGTGTGCGGGAATGCACTACCGATATCCAGGGCTCAGTCCAGCGTAATAAACTTCAGGGTTTAAGAGTTTACTGCAGGGGCCTTAATAATTAGAATAGGGTTTCGGGTCCCATTATACTATGAGGAAACCCCCAAAGAATATAGGTAATTAGGGTTTTGGGGCCCAGTATACTACAATTATAACAAGGAACCCCCCCAAATAAGATAGGTAATTATTTAGGCCCCTACATACCCTTTACTAAACCCTAAACCCAAAGCCTAAAACCCCTAAACCCCTAAACCCCCTTTAAGGAGTGTTTGGAGTTTCGAGCTTCAGGCGAAGGCAAACGTCGGCTTTCATGAGGGCTTTTGGGGCCTCTGGGTTTAGGGTTTAGGGGCTGAGGGTTTGGGGGTTTAGGGTTTAGGGTTTAGGGGTTTAGGGTTTAGGGTTTAGGGTTGAAAGATAGTCCAGTCGGGTGGGTGGGGAGATTTTGGTAGGCTAACATTGGGGCCTCAATAATTAGAATAGGGTTCTGGGGCCCATGATACTATAAATGTATAAAGGAACCCCCAAAGACCGTATTGGTAAATAACTGAGGCCCCTACTTTATCTTTATGGTCTGTGCCGGCTCAGCTGCAGGATCCAAAATGAACATTTCAATGGGCTTCTTTCGTCCTTTCTCGCGCTTCTCACATGGTTTTCCAAGAAGTTATACAGAAGTTGTAGTCGTCAAATCCTAGAGATCGGGACGATCCGTAGCCCAAGGCATCGGAAAGCAGTATCCCCTCAACCCTGCAAGCCATAGGTCCCATAGGTAATGCGAATCTCAGGGTTCATGTTCTCTGGCCTCCTGTTGGCTTGCAGATGTTGCTTCTCTCGTGCACTTCCACGGAACATGTCTCGCATTTCCACCAGGTCGTGTCAGGTCTCGTGCTAACTTCTTTCAGCACCGGGCAACACCTCCGAACTTCTTGGGTTCATGGCCACGGAAAGCTAAAGCTGTACCAGCGCCGCCACAAGTTTCTGCTTGCAGCCCCGAGCCCTGATCTTCAGACACTCTTGAGCTCCTAGAACTCCAAGCTACACATCCAGTCGTTGGCAGCTTGCTGGAAGAGATTTCCAGTCTGGTAGGCTTCGGTGCCAAGACTCGTGTCTCTCACAGTTTGGGCCTCAGGGATTGAAGCCTCGCACGTCGGGAGAAAGTATGACTTAGTTAAGGCTCAGGACCCATAGGACTATGTGGTACCCTGTCCTTTGTGTTCCAAGCGGCCAGCCCTGTGTGCAGCACTGCGAAGACCACGCCAAAGATGTTGCCACCGATCACCTAGGCGGAATTTGCAAGTAGGTTTCAAGTCGCTTCCCGGTTTCGGCCGTCGGCCGCTTCGTCCAACTAGCGCCTAGTGCAGTACGTGCGGAACCCATCCATATCCGCACAAGTTAGCGTGCATAGCATAGCATTACATCAGCATCACATAACAGTGCAAAACATTACATAACATTACATGACACCACATAACATTACATAAGACATAGCATTACCTGACATAGCATTACAGAGCAATACATAGCGCCACATGACATTGCATAACATCACTTAACATTATAGAACATAACACTACATCGCCTTACATAGCATGACATAGCTTGACATCGCATAAGATAACATTAAATGCATGCATGCATGCATACATACATACATACATACATACATACCTGCATACATACCTGCATACATACATACATACATACATACATACATACATACATACATACATACATACCTGTACGTACGTACGTACGTACTTGCACATGAGTGCAAACGAAAGTGTGCATATCTGTCTTATGCATGAATGTGGGCATGCAAGTTTCTATGTATATATGTAGATATGTATGTATGGATGGATGGGTATAGCCAGCTAGTACCGCTCTTGGTGCCTTCCACCTAGGGTCAGGGAGCAAAACCGTTGCTTGAAGGACCTCCTGATCAAGTCTTGAACAGCCCATCACAATTTGGCCGCCTGCCCCTGAACCCCGCCTTTTGCTACCTTAAACCGTTTAGAGTTTAGGGTTGCGGGCCTCAAACCCTATAAACCCTAAACTCTATACTCTAAACCCTAACTGAACACATTCAACCCTGCATCCCCATGCCTCGACCCTGGTCCCTAAATCCCAAGCCTCGGATACAAGGGTTTCGGGCTTAGAGGAAGCGCAAGCCCTTAGACCCTTGAAAAACCCTAAACTCCCTGAACCCTAAAGCCCTGAACCCGAAAACCCTGAACCCTAAAGCCCTGAATCCTAAAGAACCCTAAAGTCCTGAACCCTAAAGCCCCGAACCCCAAACCCTTAAAACCCTGAAAACCCCCTTAAAAACAAGCACTAAAGCCCTGAACCCCAAACCCTTAAAACCCTGAACACCCCCTTAAAAACAGGCAGAATCCGACGCCCCTCCGGGCCGAGCGACTCGGAAGCCCGCGGCGATGGTCCGCTCGTTGTAGTCGCTCGTCAACTCCGGCACCAAAGCACCGATCCTGAAATGCTCTGGGAGCCCTATAAGAGAGGGTTTAGGGTTGAGAGGGTTTAGGGTTTAGGGTTTAGGGTTGAGAGGGTTTAGGGTTTAGGGCTTAGGGTTGAGAGGGTTTAGGGTTTAGGAATCCTGAAATGCTATGGGAGCCCTCTAAGAAAGGGTTCAGGGTTCAGGGTTTAGGGATCCTGAAATGCTCTGGGAGCCCTATAAGAGAGGGTTTAGGGTTTAGGGATCCTGAAAGGCTCTGACAGCCCTGAGAGAGCGTCGATGTACTTAGTGACCCTTTAAGGCTTCCTTGACGGGATTGCTTTAAGCGTGTAGTCTACCTTAACCTACCCAAACCCACTTTTTTGTAGGTTCTTCTTATAAACCCTAATATGGGATTTATAGGGACCCTACAACAAAGTAGGTTTTGGTGGGTTAGGGCGGCGGCTCGTGGGGCTTGCCTCAAAGATGTAGAGCTTGAGAGTTGAGCGGTGTCTACGCTCTGATAGAGGGTAGTTAGTTACCCATAGGCCCCATAGTAGTTCCTTTATGCGGCCTATATTTAGGATTCTATTTGGGAATCCCAGAAAATAACTGTTATGGGGCCTAGGGGTAGGGATCTGGGGAGACATTGAGGTTTGGGGTTTGGGCGGGTTGACTTACGGCTTCGGGGATTGAGGTTCGGTGTTTGGGTTTGGGCTTTTTTTTTGGGGGGGGGTTAGGGGTTCAGGTTAAATCAGGAGAGAAGCCCAATGTAGGAGCCTCAATCATCAGAACAGGGCTTGGGTATGCAATACTAGAATTAATTATTTTAAGAGGAACTCTACAGAAATAGTATTGATAACAATTCCCGCCCTTGGGTTTGGGGTTTAGGGTTCTTGCAAGCCCCACGACTGAGGCCTGGAGCACTGGAGTTGCGCTGTAGGTTTTGCCCATGCTGCCATCCATCCCTCTCTCTTCTCATACAAGAGATCTTATGCAAGTGGACGACACATAGATTGACAGGTAGAATGATTGATAGGGATAAGGGTCGTTCTCTAAATGAGGGTCCCTTTTTTCGGTACCCAAATATAGCACAGCACCCTTATAAAAAAAGGAGCCCCAAAGGGACCCTATCTAGAGAAACACGTAGATAGGTAGATCCGGACGGGTCTGAGCGCAATAGCCCACTATAGAGGCCTTCTTGATTAGAATAGGGTTTTGGGGGGGTACATTATGCTATTGAAAATAAAAACGAGCCCCCAAAATAATATAGGTCATGATTGAGGCCCCTATATCACTGACGATGAAGGCTCTTCAGCTCAAGATCCGTCACGACTGGAAAGCCGCCCAATGGCGACCCTAAAGCCTAGATACCAAAACCCCAAGGTTTCAGAAAGGAACGCTGCGGGGCCCAGTTTTTCCAAGGTTTAGGGTTTAGGGTTTTCTAGGGTTTTGTTTTAATGCAATTTAGGGTTTAGGGTTCAGGGTTTTATGGAACCCTAAACCCTAAACTCCAAAAACCTAAACCTTTCGGGGTTTGGGCTCAGGGCTTTCTTGCTTGGGGGTTTAGGGTTTAGGGGCTTAGGGTTTAGGGCTTAGGGGTTTAGGGGTTTAGGGCTTGGGTTGTAGATGTTTCGGTTCCGGATTATAGACATCAAAATCCAAGCATCTGCACCGCTATGGAAGTGAGGCCCAAACTAACGGCCATGTACGAGCCGAGATAATAGAGCATCTTCATCTCCTGGCGACAATAAACGGCGAAAACGCTTAACTCAAAACCCCTTCACCCGTACAACCTTCCGTCCGCGCTCTTTGATCGCGAGGAGGTTGGGGCTTGGGAAATAGCGGTTTAGGAGTCTGGGGCTTCGGTTTCGGGCCAGCTGAAAGTAGCAAACAATCTTCAACCCCCCTGAAGGCTTGCCCTACGGCTGGGGTCTCCGACACGGGCTACGTCTACCGGCAGCCTCCAAACACCACATTTTTAGGGTTCTTTGTCTCTCTTCTTCAATAACCGGGCCCAAACAAGTTCAATCTTTCTTGAAAGACTCAATATATAAGCCCTTATCTAAGTTGTAGAGTTGCGTATACTGATTATGGCCTCTTCGCAAATTCTTCAAAAAATTGAATTCTTGGGCTAGGTAGGGTTCAGGTGTTCGTTCGGCTTAGTGCTGATACTGTAGGTCCTAGGTTTCGAAGATTGAATAGCGTAGGGTGTAGGATTCATCGTCCGGTGCCCTTGTACGCTTTAGGTTTAAGGTGGTATAGACCCTAGGTAACAGCATTTTATTTGCGACAGATACCTCAGCAACCGCGGCGGCTAAAACCCTCTGAAACCACCTGAAACCCCAAGCCAAACAAACCCAGAAAATCCCGCACAACCTGGTAAAACCCTCCAAAACCCAAATTCAACACAGCTAAACCCTTAGGGTCCATGTACCCATATAGTATGTACTTAGGCTTCAAAGCAATCCATTTAACGGTACTTCAGGGCTAAAGTATATACTC